AAAGGTTGATTATGACGAGAGACAATGCTATCCGAGACGACATTATGAGCTTAGATTATAATGTTATTGTTTATTTGATGATAGCGAGTCACTGCCATATTTTGATCAGTTGCAATTGAAACCAGTTCCAATTAATTATTTGCCGAAGAACTACGTCAATATGATAATTAATTGGGCTAGATGTTGATGGCTTCATTATAGATCGAAGTTAATTTATATCCTAATCCTATAATTGTATGCGCTGTATTTATGGATGAAGGTGGACGTTTTACTTTAACTTTAAAATACGTTAGTTTACGTTTCTTTGGTTCCTAAAGAGTATTTCTAAGGAGTCTTACCAAGTAAATATTTGTCAGAGTATATGGTGAAGGTGTTGATGTAAAAGGCTGAAAATATTTAACTGTCTATATTATAGCCAAATCGTTAAAATGCGTTATAGCAAGTTTTACTTTTACATAAAATTCTACTCAACCTAAAACCATATAAGATGTTCTAATGAGTCAGTACAAAAAAAATCATCAGAAATCCAAGATATGCAAATTGTTCAGCGTTCTGTCCTATTTAAATGATGGTGCTAAATTGTTTTGAATTTAACATTATTTGTTTCACTCCTTGGTCTGATTTGAATAAATCAAAAAATTTAAAAGGCTGCAAGACACAAACTATTGAATGAATTAGCATAATTATATGGAATGAAGTTTATAATATTTTTAACTAATCAATGATTTCCTATTATATTAACAATATAAACCAAATTAAATATAAGTGGAAATATCCCAAATAAAAAAAAAAAAAAAAAGTTGGTGAACTCCTGACAATCCCAAGCCGTTCAATCATTTTGAACTTTAAAAATTATGTAATAAATCAGCACTCTACAGAGCGTTTCGTAGAAGACGGCGCTGCAAATCGTAAGATATTTTAGATTTCGTTAGTATAGATAAAAGTAAAAAAAAATATCATAAGATTTAAAATTTGAATAAAGTATAATCCAGATATAACAACGTGATGTAATTAAATTGATCATAAAATGAGTAAAGTAAAGTAACAGCCTATACATGTCCCACTGCTGGGCAAAGGCCTCCTCTATACACAGGGAATAGTCTACCACGCGGCCCCACTGCGGCTTGGCGGTCTTCACATATTTTCCAAATATATATATTTTTTATTATTATTTCGAAAATATTCAGGTTTCCTCACGATGTTTTCCTTCACCGCGGAGCACGTACTAAGTCAGCACTTAAAGGTGCCGGCACCGGGGATCGAACTCAGGTCGATCGAGTATATTGAATTAAAGGCGAGCGCCCGGACACTGAGCTATCACGGCTTATATATAAAATTAGTAGCTTTTTAATATTATCGAATTAAACATGATTAATTCGTTGTTTCTTTCGACGTGTCTGAACAATGTAGGATGTTGAAGACATGTACAAGTGATGTCATCGTTTTTCTCTTAAATCTTCTACAAAAATCGGCGCACGTTAGTTGTGGTCCGGCGGCTGTTAGATTGGTCAGCAGTTTCATGAGAACTGTCATTCTAACTATACCTAACATACGTATACGTACATGTACGTAATAACATACATAAGTATACATATAATATATAATAACATCAATGAACGTATACGTATATTATCATAGGTGAATACGCAGTATGAGTCGTAGCTGTTGTTGAAAAGTTTCTAACCGTATAACTACTACTGCTACTAATGTTGTCGTTAAGGTGTAGACTTTTAAATTTTAAGCATTTTAGGTCTGCATGCTCCCATTATATGATTGTGGAACTCTTGTAATGCTATCTTGCGATTCAGTATCTTTTATTAACTGATGTAATTGCTATCAGTCCTTAGACTATTAAAGCTTTATCTATCTCAGAACTCGTGGGCTAGCCAGAAGTTTGAAATGGCCCTCCTCTTTGGGTAGGGCTGCGCATGTGCTCATGCGTGCCTTATTTAATGGAAAAAATGTGATTCAGTATAGATTTGTTACTTAAGATATGATCTAAGAAAGCCGTAATAGTAACTACTGTTTACATACATTTTTGTCATTGTTTAAGATTTAAAAACGTATATTATCATATGTTATTGAACGAAAGTTCACTACTTTTTTAATGACGCACTTCCTAAATGAATAGATTTAACAAAATTGTTTTATTAGGAAATAAAGTTTCATGGAACCTACCGTTATCGTGTGTATAAGTGTTAGTGCACAAATTGACTGGATTAATTAGTCGGCAATCTACAATTTCAATTTATTTTCCAGATACTTTGCGGAAAGTTTCAAAGGAGGTTTACTGTTTATGTATGTTAAACTCTCTTACTGCTTTTATATGTTAAAATTATTGTTTGTACATGTAGAAATGCATTGTCGTCGTATTTAAAATCTATTATAGAAAAGCTCCGCTGTCTCCCACGACGTGTAATTTATTTGGGTAATTACTCTTTTACCCCCATATGTTAACCTTACGTAACTCGACAATTTATTAGGAGTTACAGTTTAGAAATTGGCGTTCCTAATTTACATTTTCATCATATTTTTAAATCCTATTTAATGACATATAACGCTAGAAGAATTAAAGAGTTTTTAACTGGCGATATGATGCATTGAGCTCTTGATTAAGATTAAAAATACCTTGTATTCGTTATTTCCATTACATATTTTTATTATTCTGTCGAATGATAATTAAATTTTGGAATTGATCCGTTAGTTAAATTGTCGGGGAATGGAATTATTGATATTTTAAAATTTATCACGGCCTCATCATGAAAAAATATATTTAAACTCTTTCCCATAATCCCGATCAGCAATAAGTTTAACACATATAGGCAGTTCATGTATAATGAGTTTTAAATAGCAGAAAGTAATATTGATTTTTTTCAATGATGAATGAAGAATGAGGAAAAGTGCTATTAAAATTTTGCAGAGGCATTGCAACCATTTGTTTAACTACAAACACCTAGATTGGCCTGACAACAATTCTACTGTTAGCTTTTAAAAGGAATATTATTAATTATTTTATAAGATATTTTTATTAAAAGAATACTCTTACTGTAAAAAATAACGTATTTTAATTTATAGTAAATGATTTTATTACTTTATATTATATCACAATTTTCAGATTAGTCCAGTTGGTGATTCAATGAATTTTAGTACCGATCAGACCAATAGACCGCTAGTTATTCTTAATTTAGAAAGTTTTATCATAACGAAAATATCCACTAATAAATATATTAAAAACAAATTTGAAATGTAATTTAAAATTATTAAAATTTGAAAGTAATGTTTACAAAGGTATATATATTAAAAACGATAAAGTCAACAAATCTTTACGAAAACACAATTCGTCGTTACCGCACATTGATTGGGCTATGTCCACCAGTCGTATCCAATTTCTTTTACTCTTTCTGTTAGGCACAACGCTTCGAAATATGTAAATTCTCAATGAAATAGTGTATGTGTACAGGACAATGACTGTCGGGTCCGCTAGTATTTTTATAAAAATCAAAATTCTGTGGATTAGCAAAGGACTTGTACGTATATAATATAATAAAAATGCGACATGTAATATTACTACTCATACATGTATTACTTTACCAGATAAATATGTCTGAAACACAAAATCGATTACGACAATGTTGTTTGCGTCCCACGTCCTATGTTGTCACTGACAACATAGTTGACTGACGTGTGGCCTCGTTTTATACGCTCATATATTTATAGAATAGTATTATCGTAATAAAGATTTAACACAAAGCACATGAGAGATTACTTATATGTACATGTAGCGCCCATCAATTTTGCAATAGACTGTCTTCACATATTGTTTTCTTGATTTTACACGAATGTTATACATATTAAATGAAACTCCTTTACGGATTTTATCGCGTTTTTTATTTTGATTTAAATTCCCGACGTATCGAACCCTTTCCAGCGTTCATGGTCACGGGACAGTGTGTCCCGTGACCATGAACGCTGACTATAGACTATCTTGTTAAATTGTCTTTGAATCAGTTTTTTTCGTTTTGTTGATTTTAATAAAAAGAAAATCAAGGACAAGAAACAAATGTTTAACGTCAATAATATTCAGGACTTTGTATCAATTCTATTTTTATTAACGCTTCCATTTCAAAACGTTAAATATTAAATTCCGAATTAAAAAGCGGGTTGTTTAGGGAATTAATGCTGGACGCGCTAAACTAACATTTTTAAGTAGTAAAGTAAAGTAAAGTAGCAGCCTATACAAGTCCCACTGCTGGGCAAAGGCCTCCTCTGTACAGAGGGTATCAGGGCATAGTCCACCACGCGGCCCCACTGCGGATTGGCGGACTTCACATATCTTCGAATTTTTTTTTAAGTAGAGTGGAGAGGATTATTTTTATAAATCATACACCTTATAAACTGACGTAAGCTCTGCAATTATTGAGCACTTACTTTAAACTTACAAACAAATTCACACACTTGCAAATAGATTCTTAGAGAAATTATAGAAAGAATTTAATTGTAAAATTGTTTCAAACAAAAATTAGACTTAGTATTGAATAATTTTTGTGAAAAAATACCATCAACGGAAGAAAGTGTAAAACTTTTGACCGTTAAAAGCTTTTAACCTTAATTACTTTCCTTTATCTACTTGCGAAGTTGCAAAGTATGCTCTGCCTTGATGGCGCAAAAAATATTTTTCTATTAAAAGTTTTAACTTTAAAACATTTTGACATAACAGATTAAGGAAAATGTTTTGAAGGACGATACTTAAGATATGTGGGAAGAAATTTTAATTTGTTCACATAATAGCATCCCTAAAAATATTTTAAATATTACACATTATGATTGAAGTCATTTGCCACTTTTATCGCTTTTTATTTAAAGTTTAACCTGTGATGTTTCGTATAATTCACGGCTTTCGTTGTTACGGGCCGCGTTGCGAGATGTTTTACAATCAATTCAAACCACTCAGGTAAGGTGAAGAAAGCAGATATTTTGGTCGGAATCTAACATTTCAACTACGCTTTCTGCATCTCCGTATAAGTAGTCACGGTCGTCATCATCATCACTGCTGCTTTCCCCTATAAAAATAAAAGACGTATTTATGTCGGTATTTAAAATATTACTTTGACTACTATTTAAAAAAAACGTGGGTGTTGGCAAAAGAACTTTTTTAGCGTGACAAAAGAAAAATAACTAAAAATTTTATCCCTTGTCAGTACTCTTGTTTCGTTTGAAAAAGAAATCAAGTACAATTTCTAACTGTTTAATTGCACAACTTGGAATTATAGATAAAAGTGCCAAAGTTGTTATAGGTTGAAATGGTAATATTGTGAACTTGGTTGAAGTTGGTCACTTTGCAACCAATTTCGTCATGTGGCTTTTTGGATGTCAGAGTGCGTGCGCATCGTAAAATTTTTATTCTAACATTTTTTTCCAAACGCGCTAAAAGGAGTATCTACTACATAGTATAAAACAAAATCGTCCCGCTGTTTGTCTATCCCTATGTATGTTTAGATCTTTAAAACTACGCGACGGATCTTGATGTGGTTTTTTTTACAGTGATTCATGATGAAGGTTTATATGTCGCCTCTTTACAAGAACAACGTGATATTTTTTAAACCAGAACTTTACAGGAGAGCAATTTTAAACATTTAAGCGTTGATAAATTCTAAAATATTGATTATTTTCCCGTCGGAAAACAATTAAATTGTTGCGGTAATTAATGTGCTTTCTGAAAATAAGCAAAAAAAACTCAGTGCAATATGAAGTAAGTAAAAAAACTGATTTAAAAAAAAACACAGACAAACATGTCACGTTTTTAATGAAAATATGTTATAAAATGCTTGTAACATATTGATATATCACATTGAAGATGTTAAATTTACGTGTAAGGCTGTGTGATAAGTTAAATAAAACACAGTATTAAAATAAAGATCTTGTTTTTAAAAAATACAAATTTACGAATACAAGTTACTTACACAATGAAATTAGCTTGAGGCACAATAATCAACGAGAGATCAATCAATAACCTAGTACTTAGTACTCGCTTTAATTAAAATTATAAGGTAACTAAAAAATTACTTCCATACAAATAAAAAATCTAAAAGTTAACTGTACTTAAAGTTATAATAGTAATTAACGTCTTCTAACACAATTATGGCACCCAGTTTTATAGCACTTAGAAATTAAAAATAGGAACATTGCTCTCACCCTTCATAAACATAGAATCACAAATTTTCTTAATACTTATAAAAACACTAATATTTTAAATGTAGCAATTAAAATATTTCTAGAAAATACAATTCAAAAAATCTTTGTATTTAATCAGTCTTATTACAACGATTCGTAAAAATGGCTTGTGGTTCTAGGAATGAGGGTTTTTATTCACCAAATCCATGAGATCAGCTTTTTTTCTCTCTGCTAGTCCAGGTTTTTGAACATAGGCCTTTTGCAAATCTAAATGAATTTTTTGGCTATTACGATTTCTATTTTTTTTCACCACTATAGCTTTCTTGAATAATTCGTCAGCGTATGATTCTTTGAAAAATATGGCATTGGGATCAGAGCTTTGAACTTTAATCATCTTCAGTCCAGACAGTTTCACAGTTTTATTGTCTTCATCTTTCATAATTGCAAAGTTCATTTGAGTGCAAATACTTTTCCAATCAAAAAAATCATCGAAACACATTTCATTAACATGAAATGGCTCGCTTTTTTTCCGTGCCGCCTTTATAGCCCCGATAAATGCGTCAGGTGTATACATTGGTCCTGATCTCAGTTGCCTTTTAACTCCTCTCTCTATTTGAGAGTGAGCTGAATCGCCCTCGTTCTGCGTATGTCCTTTAACGAGGTATTTGTGTGTAATTGATCTGAGATTTGGCAGAGTTTTGACTGAGTAAGTGTACATTGAGATCATAAACTTATTTTTTTGCTGTCCGCCACAATTGTCTGAATAAAAGACTACATCGAGGTCTTCAGCCGTTGCGGAAATTTTCTCCAGGTATTTGTAAACACAGGTAGCTATTTCGTTGACACCTCTATTTGCGTTAGACTCATCCCATACATTACTCTCAACTGAATTATTTTGTAAGTTATAAATTGTTAAATTAAGTACATTTAGTTTTGACTTGTAGTAAAAAACTGAGACGTCTCCTTTGGGGCATTGGAACACTGCATAAAGATCATAGACCTCTACTAAAATATTTTTGTTGTTCTTATCTTTTTCTTTTTCAATACGAGACAAATTCTTTTCCCTAAGGTGTAATTCATAATCTCGTTTCTTAGATTCTTTCACTACATCTGTGATGTTTTTATAGGCTTCGCATATATCGCATAAATCCTTTTTAGGAGTGAAAAACGAAATGTTAAAATCTTGTGTGAAAATACGATAAAAAGTAATGTAGGTTCCATAGGGGACGTTTTGAGATTTGCATTTTTCCACATAATCTCTATGGAGATCTGTGATAGCTTTGCTACCATCAATATAATTTCGTTTTGAGTTAGCCCGGATATAATGTGACTCAATCTTCGGTATAGACTCAATAAACAATTTGATGCCATTTTTAATGCTTTCGTCCACTGCATAATGGTTTGAATGAGTACCTCGGTTATCTTTCATGGAAGAAATATTAGTGTTGCTATCTTTCTTTTTCAAAGCAGTCTCTATGGGTGGATTATTAATCCCCAAAGTATTTTTGAAGAACAATTTACAAACTCTTGTTTTTTCACCCGAAATAGTCAAAAAGAAAGCGTTGTTGTTGTTTCGAATAGTTGCAACATTTCCATCCGAATCAACTTTAACATAACGTTGTTTTGGGATGACTATGTCTACGCTATTAGCAATAAACGTCCATTGTTTTTCTATTGCACCTAAGCCCCAATAGTCATTTAAAATTGTCTGTCTTTGCTCCTCTGTAAATTTAAACCCACATTTAAATTTACATTTATCTTTACAAGAAGGTTTCAATTCACGACTTGGCATGTTTTTTTATTTTATTTGGTAGATCGATAAGGCTTACCACTATTTCTTAGTTGTTTAGCTACATTGACTTTCCAGTTTGCTTCATTTAGTCTTCTTTTTTTACCAGTTTTATTTGGACTAGAATTATACACTATTGGACTTACAGCATTTCCGTTGCTTACGTTTTCAATCGCAGAAAGTTCACTGTTCTCTATGACACGGGGATCGTTGAATACATGTTCGTTTGTAGACGAAAGTGGTTCCTCATAGTTTTCAATGTTTATTGAAACCATATTAGATGTTACCAAATTTTGATCATCCGAAATATTTGTATAGTTGGTAGTGATATTTTGTTCCTCGGCAGTATCAGAAGAATACTCAGCATGTTTTGTTGGTTGGGCTTTATAATCAGGATCCTTTACTGAGTCGTCGCTGTCTGAAACGTTGAAGTGTAGTGGTGTGGTATTGACTTTATTAATTACTCTCGAATTTCGTGAGACTAGTGGGATATAAATAAACTCACCTTGATACATAGATGGGCCACTGCTTGAAGAACTGCTAGAACTAGAGGAACCGCTGCTACTAGTCGAATTACTACGAGGTCGGATAGAATTTACTGCGATGTCTTTGTCTACAAAGAGAATTGAAATAATGAAATTATAGGAACATAACTAAAAAAAAAAATATCAGTACAAGTAAAAAAATACCTTCTTTTGATGTCTGCAATGAATTGGTCGAGTTTTTGGCATTTTCATTCTCGTCTAGTGTTAAAATATCTATCTGAGAGTTTGAATCACTTAGTTTTACACTTAAATTATTTTTACCACCTGTAGCTAATTGAACTAACATCCTAGATCGTTATGCCATCTGAAAAACAAATTCGTAAAAGTTACTTTATTTTAGCATGTATAATGTAACATTTTAGCATAACATAAACCCAAACTTAAAGGTTCTCAAAAATAATGATGTAAAATAAAATAACCCAAAGTATTTGAAAACGATTCATCAACAACATGGTTACATTCAATGATATCACTTAACTTTTTCATCAATAATGTGACAATATTCATTATCTCATTCTCAATACTCACGAGTTTTACAACAAAAACGAATTAAATAACTAATATCACATTATTCAAGTTAAAGTAAATAACAACAAGAAACATACCTTTGCACTAAAAACGTGGTATAATCGTGATGCCACGTTTTTTGTGAAAAGAAGGAGCACTTCACTCGTTGCGCGTGCGGGGCAAACTAACGCGTCGCGTTGTCGAAGTCGTGCGCCACACCGAAAGAGACAACGTGATAACGCCATTTGCCACGGTCCTGTTGTCTCTTTTACTCATAGCTCCTCGATCATTCACTTAATCGAATAAAATTCGACATCGCGGTTTTGAATATCAAATAATAAAAAAATACGTTTTTATGAGATATCACGTTGTTCTTGTAAAGAGGCGATGTATAATACATTGCACCCATGCGAGGCCGAGGCGGGTCGCTAGCAACTTCATAAAAGCATTTTATTACAAGTGTTTATAATAAAACTAAAGTTGTCGTCGTCTTGAAATAGCGTCTTCAGGAATAATTATCTGGTAATTATGACTTCGTATAATTTTAATAGATAGATTGTGGAAAAATTTTCGGCAGTAAGGGATTCAAACCAAGTCTTCTGGGTAAATTCAAGCGCACGATGTCGTCACATCAAAATCTCAAATCACACGAAAAATACGACAACTATTTAATTTTATTTTTGCTCTTTAAGCCTTACTACTGGGAAAAAGTTTTTTGACAATTTTTCTCTGAACACACAAATTAATTTAGTGAAGTTATTTATTATTAAATTAGGTTCCTAAACAAGTTTCTAAAAAAAAAAGAATGTTTATTCGTGCAAAATCTTGTAATAGAAATCATTATAACCGATTGCTTTGAAATTTTTACGTCTCGGGATTTAATGCACTTATTGTTTTTTATAGGACGGTATGCTTGTGAGGGCTCAAGTTGTAAAATTTTAAAATTAGCTGTTTTAAAACAATACAACTTAATGACAGAAATAGTTACCACGTTATCTCGAGCAACGGGATACCTGGAGTATTATACAATAATAATATATATTTATCCTCTCCAACCCTTTTTCCGTCAAGACCCTTTCATTTCCGCTTCTCAATTGATGCGCTTTATTTCCGCTTAACGATAGATAGCACAGATATCACTTCAATACATTGGTTGTTAATCCCTTTTACTGGTATGTTGGCTATTGAAAAATCAATATGGGCTAGTAGCTAGTAGTTCACGAGAATAGTGAGTGGCGCAAAAGAAATTTTAATATCTGAAAAATACAAAAAAATATGGATGTCTTAGCGATTTCTAATTAAAAAAAATAGAAAAACTAATTGTGTTACATTTTATTATATTCTTCTCATACAGATATGTTCAGCGCACTTCATGTATAAATACATATACGAATTTATAAGTACTTTCCGAAAATTTTATTCATATTATTTCACGTCATGTTATTTAAATTTTTCTTTGATATTCTTCCTTTGTACACTTTTTATTAATCCTACGGATGATAGTAGAGCAGCCGTATTTAAATAGCCTACTTTACTCTACGCGACAAAAACCAAATTTTCTTCAAAATATCTACTGAATTTTAAAAATAAGGCTACTATTTCCCAACTCAACTCATTAATTTATTTATACGAATAACTTGACATAAGATGACTTTTATTTAACTCACTTTATTCATTATCATTTCCTTGTATAACTTACATGGCAAGTCTATAAATATTATCCCGATACAAAAACAAACCGTTGTTGAAGCGTTTATGATGTCTTAACGATAACGTACGTGCTATATAAATAAATACACGAAAAACCAGCACGCACACAGCCATCCACATGCAAATAAGTGTATTGAAGTATGATCGTTTTTATTAACGGCCATTGTACAGGCGTTCGAGATCTTCCTTATGAAACGCCCTCGAATTCCACTCGTACGTGATCTTGAGACGAGCACTGTATTGTTCAGTGGCATGTACGGTCACAAGTGTGTATCGTTAACTCTCTTCAAATGCTTTTTTCTGCGCTTCGCTTTAAAAAAACAAGGGTGATCTACATGCCTGCGCGATGTTGCTTTAAAAAGATTTTGGACTGAAGCTCATATCAACGCGTTCAATATGAAATTGATAGATCTATAAAATATATTTAATTATATCCTATATAAATATAATCTGTACCCTATATAAATTATATTTTATTTTGATTGACACACAGACATTGTTTTGTTGTAACTGATATTAGCGCTGTCAGTCTGTAGACTAATCTAGTTCGTAGAATAATAGCATTCATCGAACGCTGAACCCGTAAACTAGGTAGAAGCCACAAGTTCGAAAAAGCGGTCCTCCACGTTTGGTACATTACTCCAATAACGCTTATATCATTGATATTGATCACTTTCAAGATATCCCCTTCCATTCTCTTTCACTACAATGTTAACAGTCACCGCTACATGCTCTTCGTTATAGGGAACCAGAGTTAAAATGAAGCTTGCCTCGACGATGCTCGTCTTCGAAATCGTACTCCTTTAATTGTTCTATGCCAGTTTAATTCTGCATGTTCCTTTTTAACTTGTAATTCCCGACCTAACAGGTACCTTTTGTTCCGTCGGTCACCCCGTAAAACAATATCGAAAACGAACCTTACGAAGGTAACATACGACAGAGAAATTATTTATCAAATACTTTTATATAAATAAATTCGACATGGTTTCTGAGCCAAGTTTAAAAAATGTATTATTCGTGGTTTGATTTTTATAAAATATATAATAACTCTCTAAGTATGCACTCATTCTTTTTGACATGCATAAAATTAATATCATCATAGACAAGTCGCACCTTTGTTGACCTAAACACAGTTCCTGATTTAGTTTCATGATAAATTCTCGTCTAAATTGAAGTACAGCCAATAAATCAAGTCATACCCTATTACTTTCTACGTTGAGAAGCAAAAGCGACAAGTTTGCGTAGAGCTGCCGCTGGGGTACAGTTACGTAGCGTAACTCAACAATATTGGGTTAGGATTTCCTGTCGTTAATTAGCCCCAACAAGGCAGGTTAAATTCAATTGTGTTGGAATCGAATCATGTCACTTTTTAGGTATAAGGCTGAAAATTCAAAATTTGTCACTAAATAAAATTGCAGTAAATTGTACGCTAAATTGTCGTACAGAATAAAAATAAAACGCAGCAAGTAAGCATTGATAATATTATAGATATGTATATATTCGTGATTGTGTACATGTTAGTTATATTAAACTTACTAGCGACCCGCCCCGGCTTCGCACTCACCTTCCTCTTGAAACACTCTATTTAGTAAAAAAGCCGCTTCAAGATCCGTTGCGTAGTTTTAAAGATCTAAGCGTACATAGGGACAGACAGACAGCGGGATGACTTTGTTTTATACTATGTAGTGACTAGTGATGCACAGCAAAGCGACGCTTACATTTCGAGTGACATTTTACCACAGTCACTCACTTGTTTTGCCTTCCCCGAACCCCTCCATTAACACTTAAACTTTATGGTTTGGTATTAAAGTTCAAATTGACTTTTAAGTATTATTACGAATTTTTTCTATGGGAATATAGAAAAGTGTTCTTTTTAGATTTTCTCGGGCAATTTTTTAAATATTTATGTCCGTAAGAACCATCTTCCTACTTGAAGGAATATTATAAAAAAGAATTAGCAAAATCGGTCCAGTCCCTATGTGATCAAGGGTGATCACGCGTGATTGCGTGATCAAGGGACATAGGGATTCATTTATATATATATATATATATATATATATATATATATATATATATATATCTATATAGATTGTCCTTCGAATCAATATTTATTGAGTACGATGGATGCCACAAATGCAATGCAACTACAAACAAATGTAACTTGAGAGTATACGCAACTGATATTTGTTGCTTGACTTCTTTCCTATTTTTGTGAGCACAGGAGCGTTATTTAGAAATAAATAGAAAATATACTTTATTGTAAACAAGGTAATACATAGAAAGAAAATATAGGAAACATAGTGTTCTTATTTATATAATTTCTTGCAGGTAACCCTTCATTATTTTTACTCGCTTTAATGTCTTAGTTACTAACAGCCGCGGTTTTATTAATACTGTATAATTAAATTTCCATAGAATAAAACAACGAATAAACACATACAATAAAATGATGACCTTCATATTATAATCTTATTTCCAATGACATGTCACAAAATAAATCAATTTTATTATTTATATCGAAATTCTTAAAATTCGACGAATAATGACTAAAGTTTTTCAACGCAGTGACTGGACCGGCACGATATCAGAGCCCTAAAAGCAAAGGAGGCTTTGCCTTCTTTCACGTCTGGGTGGTAGTGGACAACTGATGCATGAAAATTCAAAAGGATAGTAAAAAGTAATTATTCCCGTAGAGTACTTGTTACATATACTTCGAAATCAAACTGATATAAAAAAATTTCATTAAATTTCGTGAATTTGTGTCGAATAAGTTTTTTTTAGAATAAAGAGCGAAAAAATGTTAAATGAAATTTTAAAAAATTTCATTTAACATTTGGCGGTTTTGCTATACACTCAAATGTATAGCAAAACGGCCGCTGTAATAAGTTTCTTCTCCCTATTACTGTAGACCTCGTTTTTCCACTTATTCTCTAGTGGTAAAAAAAGTTTTAGAATTTGTGAATAACGAGACGTGGCAGATGTAAGTGACAAAGGGTTTTAGTTCAACAAGGTTTAGGGAGCGACTTCAAGGGCGACTTCATTTGGTATTTTTATTATGTAAGAATGCTT